CGCTCTAACTGTCAGGAAGTTCTTCCTACTGTTTAGCCGAAAACTCTTCTGATTTAATTTCACCCCTTTGGTTCTGGTCCAACTTTCTGGAGCAACAGAAAACAACTCCGCACCATCCTCTATGTGACAGCCCTTCAAGTACTTGAAGATGGTAATCATATCACCTCTCAGTCATTTCCTCTCCAGGCTAAACATACCCAGCTCCTTCAACCTTTCCTCATAGGCCTTGGTCTCCAGACCCCTCACCATCTTCATTGCCCTCCTTTGTATACATTCTGGCTTGTCTGTATCCTTGTTAAATTGTGGTGCCCAAAACTGAACACAATACTCCAGTTGAGGTCTGACCAGAGCAGAGGCTAAACTAACTAATACCTGTAATGGTTGGGGAGACACAGAGGTTGATAGTGTTTGATTTTTTGTTTGATTACACTCATTCCCCCTCCTTACTACAACCTCTGACCTTTGTCTGTGCAGGTCCCATGACTTCCAGCATAACCTTAGGGTACAATTTAGCAAAAAAAACACAAAAAAACCCCAAAGCGGGTTTCCCGAATATTACCCAACTCTGAATACCATACCGGTATTGGGATTCAGAAATATTGGAAAATACTGATATTTTTCAGGCTTAATATACCCAAACTCGAATAATACCAAGGGGTTTTTTTTGTGCACACCCCTATCCTGTTCCTTGCAATGGGGATGGCCAGGTAATCTCTTAATATATATACTCAGATATACCCACCTATGGCATACGGCCAAGGGCCGGGCAGTGAGTCATAGGTATGATTCTGGAACTGAAATATTTTGGCCTCCCTGGCCACCACCATATGTAGAGACTTGACTCAAACCTGTTCTTATATTTCAAGAAAGCACTGAATAGATACATCAGTAGAGAGAAAGTAACCGAAAGAACTATTTAAACAATTTCCTGCATTTTTCCTCTTCCAGTATAACTTTCTGTGGTATCTGCTGTCAAAAATATGTCAAGGCAAATATTTCTGAGCAATCTACCACCACTGTGAGATACACCATGAAGATGCTGGCCAGCGCCACGGAGACAATTGTTTTCATGTTCCTGGGAATTTCAGCGGTGGATCCTAAAATCTGGACCTGGAACACGGCTTTCATACTCTTGACGTTGGTCTTCATCTCCGTCTACAGGGTCATTGGTAAGAAAATGCATTCTCTTGCTCCCGATGAGATTGCGAATTAAGAGCGTCATTCCCAGCTCAGGGGACCTATATATATTTATTTACTTACTTCATTTGTACCCAGCCTTTCTCCCCAGTGGAGACCCAAAACGGCTTCCATACGTCTCCCCTCCTCCATTTTATCCTCGCAACCACCCTGTGAGGAAGGTGAGGCTGAGCGTGTGTGACTGGCCCAAGGACCCCGTGAGCTTCTACGGCAGAGTGGGGGTTTGAACCTGGTTCTCCCCAATCCTAGTCTGACACGCTAACCACTGCACCACACTGGCTGTCAGGTTTTGAGGGCGAGAGAACTGCAATTGCCTGACTGGGCATTGTGGTGTGCTGCTTATTTGGGGGGGGGGGTCTGTTTTTATTTTAAAATTACTCTTTGCATATAAACTGGGTAGTTTCTGCTGCCACCAGGAATTCAAAATTCCAAAAATCTCTCTCTGCTGCTGGTAATGTGATCTAGGGTCTGGGCATTTCAGAGGAAGGATTGAACTGAATTCTGGGATAAACAAAATTTGATTTATTGATTAAAGAACAAAAATAAGTTGCTGGTTATCTTAAACTGTTTTGGGAATAAAGAACTTGTAAATATAACTGGGTAGGTATCACACACAGTCCTTCTGACACTAAAATTCCACACTGACAGGAATCTCTCTTTCATATGGGCAGCCACACTGGCTAAGCACTTTGTCTTATGGTCTCTCTCAGATCTTTAGAGTCACACAGACTCTCCTCATAGCTCTTCCACACTTCACTTTCCAAGGACACATACACAGAACTCTTTAAGTTTTCACACAGAACTTTGTCTTATCACTGAATTCCCTCAGGACACACACACCGAACTCCTCCCACACTCTCAGTCATCCACCAACCACAGCACATTTGTCTCCCTCTATCACTTTCCTTCCAGCACTGCACTCAAACCAAACATTTAAAGACACACACTCACGAAATCAAGGAATCATTACAGGCATCCCTTCGCTAGCAAGTGTGTGCTGTTTGTGTTGCTCCCATGGCGCTCAGTGCCCCTTCCCTGCTGGGCCTCAGTCCCAGAAGAAGAACAAGGAAGGCAGATGCCCCCCTCCTTAGCCAACCACAGCAGTGTTCTCTGTTTAGAAGTAGTTGCTCTGGGGACTTCCGGTCTACGGATCAGCGATAGCGGACGCTCTCCCCACACCGGGGAAGGGCGAATCGTACACCAGCGGCATGGGGGGTGCCACCTGAAGTGACACCCCCGTGGAGCCTTTGTGATAGGCTCCAGGCCAGGGGGCTTTTGAGGGGTAGCCTCTTCGACGGCGGAATGCCAGAGAATTGAGGCTCCCCTCCGCCCCAACGGTCCAGCCGCTGAGTGGCCTTTGGGCACAAGCTGGTCTGACCAGGACAAGCGCCGGAGATCGAGCGGAATGGCGTATAAACCGAACGTGGTCAGGGAGACTGGTCGACAATGAACGTGAGTTCTGGAAAAAAACAGAGTACTTTAAAAGCTATCCCCCCCCGCTGTAATAAAAGAGGCTGCAAAGAGGGACGCCTCTGATGCGAGTTAACTGCCAAGTGACACGAAGGGGGAATGGGGAGGAAATAATACGAATGTGTTCTGAGAGACTTATCTGATTTGCAACATCGTTGGGCGAGTTTTTTGAGTCGGGAAGAAGCGGTTGAACTGTAAACAAAAGGGTAGAAATGGCAGCCCAGCAAAGAAAGTTTAAAACGAAACCACCTGGCAGCCAGAGTCCGAAACCAAAAGAGGGAACAGATGTCATTAAACTCTTGGTGGATATGCTCAAGCCGGTGATGGAACAACTCGATGGTATTAACCTGCAATTGACCATGATGAACAAAAACTTCGCAGCACAGCAGCTCCAGCTGAATGAAACGGAGAAAAAAGTGGAGCAGGCAAACGAGAAGATCAAAGAGATAGACACCACAAGCAAGAAATTGAAGAAAAGAATGGGAGAAGTTGAAACGAAGCAAAATTGTCAAGAGAATCGAGTGTTGCAGCTACAAATGGAAAAAGCAAACATGATTCTCAGGTTCCAGGGAGTTGCTGAAATGGAGCGGGAGGATCTGAAGAGGATACTCAGCAAGTTTATCGCTCCAGTAGTAGGCTTAACAGCGAATGAACTAGTAAACGAAATGGAGTCAGCCTATAGGGCATACTCCAACTATATTAAAAAAAATAGCCTGCCTGGAGAAATAGTGGTCAGGTTCTCAAGAAGACAAACCAGAGATGCCATTTTAAAAGCAACATCAGCAACTCCACTGAAAATGGGAAATGTAACCATTAAAACTTTAAATTACATTCCATTTGAAATTAGACAAAAGAGAAAAAATTATAAGGATTTAATCTCTTTCCTTCAAACTAATGGGATATCGTACAGATGGGCGGTTCCGGAATGTGTCATCTTTAAGATCAACGATAAAAGAGAGAAGATAGACTCCATTTTTTAAAGCTAAAGAATTTCTACATCGTCAGCTGGGAACAGAGGAAGAGTCCAAAGAGGATGAAACAAAGTCTAGTGACTCTGCTACCTCTGAGGAGGGCTCTATTACAGAGAAGGGTGCAGGACCTGCCAGAGTTGTATACGATTTTAGAGACAGAAAGCCGAAAGGCAGAAGGACTTGGAAAATGGCCTTTTGAAGCGAAGAATAAGAAGATGATCAGAGATTTCTCTCATAACAACTAATAGAATAACATATAAATGGCGAACTGTTTTAAGCAAGAACTCCACAAGTATATTGTGATACTAACACTTATTGTACTAACATTTTTATTAACAGTGAAAAGATCTCCTCCTCTTGGGGTTTTAGTTTAGTGTGGTTTTCTTTTCTTTATCCCTAGTTGTAGTCCCTTTCCTAATATTTCTTTTTAGTTTTGTAGTCCATTGCAAAATAAAAAAATATCCCTTTGGGGATTTTTAAAAAAAGAAAAAAAGAAGTAGTTGCTCCAGTCTTCCGGATGAAGTTTTGGAAGCACCTAATTCTTCTCCTCTTTCGTATAGTCACTTTGAAGCCCAGCTTTACAGAGAGGTAAGGCTATTCACAGTTAGACGCTTTCCCACACAAACGGGTCTCCTCACTTCTGCATTTGTATTCCTCCGCCACTTTCTTTCGTTTCTGCAGAGGTATTTGTAGTCCGAGGAGCAAAAACGCAGTTTGGTCCCTCTTGTGGCTCAGCAAGGGAATTCCCGGAAACAGGGAAGTCTGATGCTGCACCGCAAGAGAGAATGAAGTGCGTTTTTGCACCTTGGACTGCAGACACCTCCTGCAGAAGCGAGTGAAAGAGGCGGAGGAATACGAATGCAGGAGCAGGGAGACCTGTTTGTGTGGGAAACGCCTTAGTCTGAGGTAACCTGAAGGGCACAGGCAAACTCAGACTTGTCAGATCTGGGAAGCTAAGCAGGGTAGGCACTGGTTTGAGCTTGGAGGGGAGACCGCCGAGGAAGCCCGGGGTTGCTACGCAGAGGCAGGCAACGGCAAACCACCTCTGAATATCTCTTGCCTTGAAAACCCCATGAGAGGCTGCCACAAGTCAGCCGCGACTTGACGGCTCTTCCTAACAGCTAATGAGAAGTAAAATCTTGGTGGTCCTGATGAAAAGACCCAGTTAAGACCACATTAGTACATTAAGGCGGGGGTCTGAGCCCTGTGTGTATCGACTCACCCTGTGTGATCCACCTTGAGCCCCGGCGAGAAAGGCGGACTGTAAATAATGGTAAACAGCTCCAGAGCCAAATGTGGCACAGTGCGGAACCAAATACAGCTCTTTCTAAAAAGAAAATGATCTCTTTAAATTAAGTCTACTGGAGGGTTAAGTGGAATGCGAGAATAAACAGTATTGTGACGGGAACAGCAGGCAAAGATTTTTATGGGACTGAAGGCTTTCTTACAGTTGCTTACAGAAAGAGAAATGATAGACGTGAACAGCTGACATTAATCCGTGTACAAACCACGTGCGCAAGGGCGCTCCTGCATGTCATACGACTGTGCCACTTTCTGATACAGGACTCACAACGACCAGTGTTTGGGCTGTGAAAACTAGAAGTTGTTAATCAATTCGCCACATCAGCTATCAGTAATGTTAACTTGTATAGTTAAGGCAGGGGTGTCGAATTAATTTGTTATGGAGGGCCGGATTTGACATAAATTTGAACTTTGTCGGGCCGGGCCGTGTGTGTTATAAAATGTAACGCCAGGTAGCGGAGATATAAACTTTATAAAGGATACAAACACAAAGATATTTTTACTTAAAATAAAAACATGCTTGAAACAATAGCATTCTTGCAATATTTTGTTTATTTAACCATCTCTGATATCTGACACTTCTTGCTCTGAATCATTGCATCGAAATGTCTGTGCTGTTGCAATCTGGGGGTGGGGTGGGAGAGCCTCAGCCCAGTGCAGGGAGCAGAAGCCTGCCTATCTATCTCTCCTGAGCGATTGAGAGAGTCTGGGAAAGCAAGCTATGACACAGCAGCAGCAGCAGCAGAACTGGAGGAAGAAGCAGAAGACAGCCATCCCCTTGTGGGCCTGATAGAAGCCCTCTGGGGGCTTGACCTGGCCCCTGGGCCGCATGTTTGACACCCCTGAGTTAAGGGGTATGCAGATGGACTTCCATACTGGCTCTTTGTTGGTCTCTTGCTTTAAACGTTGGTGTCATTTAGCTTTTCAGTTATAAAATGTTGCTGGTGCCACGTTATGGTTTGCTGCACATTGATACACGTGGTCAGAGGTCATTTCGGGGGGGATCGCGGGGGATCGCAGTTCCCCCAGGTGAGGTACGGGGGCGGGGTACATCCCCGCTTCCAGCCCTCATTCAGCCAGGAGGAGGCAGGAGAAGAGGGAGGGTAAGTTGCTTTCTCCCTGCCTCTCCCCACCCCTGCCTGCCTGGGGCCAGGGAGGGCCTTCGCGGGGCTTCCTTGCAATCCCGCTGGCCTTGCAGGTCCACCTCATGGGGCTCGGCAGTGGAGCTGCAAGGCCGGTGGCGGCGGCCGGGACTGTTGGGGGCGGGGTGTGTGGCCTTATGACACACTTCCGGTGATGTCAGGGGGTGTGGCATATGCTAATGTTATGCTAATGAGTTCCCCTAGCTTTTTTTCTACGAAACGACCCCTGCACATGGTTTACTACATGTTGAAGTAGTATGCATGCACACGAAAGCTTATACTTTGAATAAAACTTTGTTGGTCTTAAAGGTGCCACTTGACTCAATCTTTGGTGTCTTTGGAGCCAGTTTGGTGTAGTGGTTAAGACCGCGGGCTCTGATCTGGGAGAACCGGGTTTGATTCCACACTCCTCCACCTGCAGCCAGCTGGGTGACCTTGGGTCAGCCACAGTTCTCTCAGAGTTGTTCTTTCAAGAGCGTTTCTGTCAGAGCGCTCTCAGCCCCACCCGTCTCACAGGGCGTCTGTTGTGGGGAGAGCAAGGGAAGGAGATTGTAAGCATTCTGAGTGAATGCTACAGTCAAGTCCTAATCCAGCTGTGGAGTTCTGTGTGAGCCACTGATTAGGAGGTGCACTGCGCTGTTTTTCTGGCCCCCACCTGAACTTAGCAGGTAAGTCTAAAGTGGCCGAAGATGCGCCTCCATCAGAGCACGACCAGGGCCAGCTTGTGGCCATTCACGTTTTCCATTCAGTCACCGCCGATAAGCAGAGCTGCCATTTCTAGGAAAGAAGCATTCCCTTTGAACAGCACCCTTTGCTTTTATGTGATGTTTCTCTGGGTCCTAATTCCTCAAGGAATGTGGTTACGCGGGCTCCTGTTACCCTGTGGCGTTTGTCTCTCTTCCCCCCCCACCCCCCCCGCCGTCATTCTACAAACCTGGCTCCTGAACTATTACCGGATGGTCCCTCTGGGGATCATCGACCAAGTGGTGATGTCCTACGGGGGTCTCCGCGGGGCGGTGGCTTTCGCTTTGGTCGTGCTCCTGGATGAAAAGAAAGTGAAGGATAAAAACCTGTTTGTCAGCACAACAATCATCGTCGTGTTTTTCACAGTTATCATTCAGGTAATTTCCGCCTCTCTGCTTTCTCCTTCCTTCTTCTTGTGCTCAGGAAGGCAAAGGGCCTAATCCAGTGGTGGTGAACCTATGGCACGGGTGCCAGAGGTGGCACTCAGAGCCCTCTCTGGGGGCACGCGTGCCATCGCCCCAGCCAGGCCCAGACCATCATTAAAGTGTCGAATTCTCTGCCAAATAATTTTAAGTAAATGAAAGCATTTGGTATTGCTTTCCTTACTTTGTTTGGATCATCTTAAGTTAATGTATGAGTTGTTTCTTCTAAAGTAAAACCTCAGTATTCAGGTTTAATTGCCGTGTTGGCACTTTGTGATAAATAAGTGGGTCTTGGGTCGCAGTTTGGGCACTCGGTCTCTAAAAGGTTCGCCATCACTGGCCTAGTCAGACCGCACTTACCTGAACCCACAAGAAGAGGGGGTCGGTTTCTGGCTCAGGCACCCCCCACGCCCCACCTGCCTTTCACTTCTCAGGGAGAAAGCACCATTCCGCCCGGCAAGCATGGCAGCATGTTTGAAGCAGCGGTCCCCAACAGGGTGCCCATGGGCGTCATCATGCCCACTAGGACCTTTTCTGGCACCCACCAAGTGTTTTTTAAACAGTGGGCAGGGCAAAGTCAGGCTTTTGCCCAGCGAGGCTTCTGATTGGCCATGCAGTTTTTAAAAGAAGTTGCTTTGGTGGCAGCTGTCACCGCTGGGTGAGGCTCTTCACCGTGTGACTGATGCGAAGCCAGGGGCGGCCATTCTGGGGCTGGCTCTGCTTCCTGAGGCTGCCGTTTTGTGGCTGCACCTACCACACCGTGTCATTATTCCAAAGGGGGCCACAGGCTTCAAAAGGCTGGGGACCCCTGGTTTGAAGTGCCGGCCTAGGACTGGTGAGACTCGGGTTCAAACCCCTGCTCTGCTGTGAAGCTTGTTGGCCGGCCTTTGGGCCAGTCACTCTCCCCCAGCCTACCTCACAGGGTTGTTTGGAGGATATAATGAGGATGAGAGAAGCCACTACCTTGCTTCAAGCTCCTTGGAAGCAAGCCGGGGTAAAGCTGTACCAAACAGAGAGCTGCGTCCTGTGCTGGGATCTGCTTGAACCGGCTGTTTATTCTCTGAATGAACTCCAGGCCAGACTTGCTTCCTTCGCCGGGAGTGCGAGGGCCGGGCGTTTGATGCGTGAGAGCTCGGAACTCTTTTCATACTGCATCGGCTTCCGGAAGTGAAGTCTGATCAGGTCCCAGATCGAAAGCAGATCCCAAATTCAGGCTATGCCAATGAGCCGAGAGTGTAACTATATCTTAATATTTTTTAGTAACTGGAGACCCTGTTTCATGTTGTCGCTTGGCGGTCCCACCCATGATACAATGCACTCTTACCTGTGCAGGAAACGAAAACCCCTCCACGGCAAACCTCAGGGCATTAATGGATTTCAAGTTAATATTTCATGAGAAAGCCATAAAACCGAGGCACGTCCTCTCTTGCACTTGCAAAAGCAAATATTATTTTTCCATTCAGAAATCTTTACACCGCTAATAAACGCGAGTGGGAAGGATGGGTTTATAGCGCTTCTTTCTGGCTTAATAGCGGGATGTTGGTTACCTTGGATAGTCTGAGAGGAAAGTCCTGATTTTCCTAGAGCAGCCTTTACAAATGCAGGGACAGGCAGAAGCTCTGGAGTTGCTGAGAATTCAAAATCGTTTGTCGGCCCTTTAACCTAGTGTCGCCAGGTCCTTACTGCGTTCTGGCAGGGGGCTCCAGTCAAGTCAAGTCAGCCTTTATTGGCATAAATTATCAGAACCATTTATACATTTTAAAACCAGTTGAAAGCACATATATAAAAATTCTAAAAGAACCTTTGGCACAGCTTTAAAGCCAAGCAGAGAAACTTAGCCCCCTTCTCTGTAAAAGGGCTCCAGTCTTCTTCCTTGAGTCTTCTGGTTTGTGTGCGTGCCGCAGTGACATCACCCAGAGGTGACATCATCGCGTGGGGGACGCTCTAGCATTTGGGGGGTGGGACTCTGTGGTTACCATAGAGGTTTTGTCGTAAATGCTAGAGTGTCCCCTGCGTGACGTGCCCTGCGCGATAACGTCACCTCTGGGTAACGTCATCATGCCAGGCTTGTCGGACACAGATGGGGCTGCTGGGGGCGGGGCTACCCCCGCTGGGCAGCGGTGGATTGGGCCCCCCGAAAGCGGGGACGGCAACCCTGCTTTAACCTCATAGGTCAGGGTTCCCCAGCCTTTTTGAGCCCAATTCCAAAATTCTGATATAGGGTGGTGGGTGCAACCACAGTGTGGCTGCCGTAGGGGAGAGGAGGAGAGAAACACACACGAGGGGGGCTGCAGGTGGCAGAGCCATGCACACCGAAGAAGCCCAAGTGTGTGGGGGGGAGGGGTCATTTTAAAAATGCACTGGAAGAGAGAAAGAGAAAATGAAACCAACAACCGGGGGGGGGGGCAGTTGCCGCTGAAACAAATGTTATTTTAATCTGCCCAGCTAATCGGATCTCCAGTGGCTGGTCAGAGTCCCTGTCGAGCACCCACTTCCTGACAACACTTGATAGGCGCCACGAAAAGTCTCAGAGAGTGCCCTGTTGTCCATGGGCACCACGTTGGAGGCCCCTGCCACAGATTCTGCTGGATCTATAGTTATGAAACGTGAAAACGATGTTTGCGCCTCGCTAAGCTGTCTCGTGCAGGTCCCCTGCCACAGATTGTGCTGGATCTATAGTTATGAAACGTGAAAACGATGTTTGCGCCTCGCTAAGCTGTCTCGTGCAGGTCCCCTGCCACAGATTGTGCTGGATCTATAGTTATGAAACGTGAAAACGATGTTTGCGCCTCGCTAAGCTGTCTCGTGCAGGTCCGGAGAGGCAGCGCACGAGTTTTCTAAGTTGGCAGATGAATTAAGCGGGTCGAGTACCAGAATGAAGTCCGGGGTTGCTCCGCAGAGGCAGGCAACGGCCAGCTCCCTCTGAACGCCTCTCGCTTTGAAAACCCCGAGGGGTCGCCATAAGTCAGCTGCGCGGCTTTTACAGCATTTTCAGACCCCCACCCCCCTCAGCAGCCTCTCCGGCTGTATCTACTGAGTACAACCTCGCCTCCGTGGCCCAGTCTGGGTGAAGAGGAAGTGTAAAACAGACATCTCTTTTGTCTTCAGAGTCCGAGAGGCAGGCGGGCAGGCAGGCACGCGCGCACACACCCCTCGATGGGTGTGCGCACAGAGAGCCACATTTGGACTTGCTGTCGCGCATCAGCAGAAGTCGGCAGCCTCCTTTTCAGAATCCCCTTTCCGCCCCAGCCAGAATAACGCGTTCATTCCCACCCTCCCCACAGGGTCTGACCATCAAGCCCTTGGTGCAGTGGCTGAAGGTGAAGAAGAGCGAGCATCGAGAGCCCAAACTGAATGAGAAACTCCACGGAAGGGTAAGCCGGGTCAGGGGAAAGGTGACGTGGCAAGCAGCGAGGGTTGACAACCAGTGTTCCCTCTAAGCTGAGTCAGTGTGAGCTAGCTCAGTTTTTTAGCTCCAGCTCACCCATTTCTGTCTCGGCTCAGGAAGGGTGGCCCCAGAGCAAACTGATTTATGCAGGAGCCCAATCGCTCGCTCACAACTTTAATGCCGGTAGCTCACAAAGTAGAATTTTTGCTCACAAGACTGCGCGGCTTAGAGGGAACATTGTTGACAGCTCTGCCGTGGGAAATCCCTGGAGATGTTTTGGGGGGGGGTGGAGAGGGGACTCAGCTATGTCTCTCGCCACAGGGCCCGCCCTCCAAAGCATCCCTTTTCTCCAGGGGAACTGACCTCCATAGTCCGGAGATCAGTTATAATCCGTGTTCCCTCTAAGCTGAGCTAGTGTGAGCCAGCTCACATTTTTTAGCCTCTGGCTCACACATTTTTGTTCCCGCTCAGGACGGACGGGGCCCCAGAGCAAAGTAATTCATGCAGCAGCCAAATGGCTGGCTCACAACTTTCATGCCGGCAGCTCACAAAGTAGGATTTTTTGCTCACAAGACTCCACAGCTTAGAGGGAGCATTGGGTATAATACCAGGAGATCTCCAGGCGCTACCTGGAGGCTGGCAACCCTACAAGCAAGTCTCTGTGTGTGGCGTCTTGTATCGTTTTGCCTCCAAAGAGGCTGAGCGGCCGCTACCTACTGCTTTCTAGTAAAGCCGCACTAATAAAGGCTGCCTCCCAGAAAATGTCCCCACGCTTCCCAAGTCAGGTCAAAGGGTGCTGGTGGACCCACTGTGCTTTCGGGTCTTGCAGTACGAGGGTCATGGGGAGGGATTAGGGGGCTCCCGAGCAGGGGGAACCGATTTTAGTCTTAGCCATCCTTGCCGGTTATTCAGCGAGATCGACAAATATAGCTTGTTTCTTTCTGGCGCTGTTGAAGATCTCCAACGTTTACTTTGAATGTGCCGTGTCTCCCTTATTCGTGCCAGGGGACAGAAGCAACGCTCCCTCTAAGCCGTGGGGTCTTGTGTGCAAAAATTCTACTTTGTGAGCTCCTGGCATTAAAGTGGTGAGCCAGCAATTTGGCTGCTGCATGCATTAGTTTGCTCTGGAGCCCTCCTTCCTGAGCTCAGAGAAGAATGTTGTGAGCCGGAGGCTAAAAAACTGAGCTAGCTCACACTAACTCAGCTTAGAGGGAACACTGGACAGAAGCAACATGTTCCAGCACGGCTTATGGCTTAGTGGGACAGCACACCCTTGACATGAGGAAGACCCTGAGTCAGTCCCTGATGTCTTTGGCTCAGTGAGGGTGGCAGGACTACGAAGGACCTTTGCCTGTGACTTTAGAAAACTCTTGGCCATCAGAGTAGAAAATTCTGGGCTAGAAGGGTGAATAGTCTGACAGGGGAAGCCAGATCCCGGTGTTTGTTCCTAAGGTATTATTTAATCTAACAACCAAAAACACCAGTGGGGCCTCGTAATGTATTTCTGCACTGGCTGGACAATCCTTTCCTGGGGGCCAAAGCAAGAGAGTTTTTGAATCTGCCCAACACAAACACTGAAGGTGGAAAGCAAAAGCACATCCAAGAATCAGTACCAGCGTTGCACTCCGGGGGAACTAGCTAGGTGTACTGTCTGAACTTGCCGTATAGGATCTTGAGGGAGGGTCTGTAGTTCAGTGGAAGAGCCTCTGCTTGGCAGGCAGAAGGTCCCAGGTTGGATCCCTGGCATCTCCAGCTGAAAAGGTCCGGTGGTAGGTGATGAGCAAGACCTCTAGAATCTAGATCAGGGGCATCAAAGATAAGGCCCAGAGGCCGGAACCAGTTTGGTGTAGTGGTTAAGTGCGCGGACTGTAATCTGGGAGGACCGGGTTTGATTCCCTACTCCTCCGCTTGCACCTGGCTGGATGACCTTGGGCAAGCCATAGTTCTGTCAGAGCTGTTCTCTCAAGGGCAGTTCTGTCAGAGCTCTCTCAGCCCCACCTGCCTCACAGGGTGTCTGTCGTGGGGAGGGGAAGGGAAAGGAGTTTGTAAGCTGCTCTGAGTGAAGGGCGGGGTATAAATCCAGTCTCCTCCGCCTCCTGTCCAGTGCTCTGATCTGGCCCGTGAGCCACTGGTACAAGGAAGGGAACAGGAGGCCACTCAGGGGTGGGCGAGTAGGCAGAACCACGACAATTGTAGTGAAACAGTTAAGCATGTTAAACCCTTTGCTTCGTGGGGTCTTGCAGTGAGGACACGCCAACTCAGAGCTCACCAACGGCTCTCCTTTATAAAGCCATATCTCTGGTAGCTAGCGTTACGTTTTATAGCACACATGTCCCGGCCGGACAGAGTCACATTTGAGTCAGATATGGCCCTTGTAACAAATGAGTTTGACACCTCTGATCTAGAGAGCCTCTGCCAGTCGGAGGAGGCAATACTGACTTTGATGGACTAAGGGTCTGATTCAATAGAAAGCAGCTTCATGTAGGGGGGGTGGCTCCTTGGCAGGGCATCTGCTTGGCATGCAGAAGGTCCCAGGTTCAATCCCCGGCGTCTCCAGTTAAAAGGACCAGCCAATAGTTGATGAGAAAGATCCCCACCTGAGACCCTGGAGAGCTGCTGCCAGTCCGAGTAGACGGTAATGACCCTTGAAGGATGAAGGGTCTGATTCTGTATAAGGCAGCTTCGTACATGTCCATGTGTGTTCTCCAGGGATTTAAATATCAGAGCTGTCGATTACAGGGGTTCAACTTCTTGCCTTCTGTTTTATGCAAAGCGTCTGTCACCCTCACTGAGATGTGGCTTTTAAAAATCCTTGGTGCTGCTTAAGTAGAGGTGCTCTCCTCTGATAAACAGCAGGTGTTAAATCTGTCAGGACAGCTGGGTTGCAGTCCTGCAGCACCTGAGAGACCAACAATAGTTTTTTTTGGGGGGGTGAATGTTCACACCCCTCCGATGGTCTCTGCCTGCCCTCCCCACCGTATCCCCCCCCCCAGTATGGGTATTCCACCAAAGCTCGATACCACTCGGGGGGCAGATATCACAGGGGTTGCCCTGGTTATGTTGCAGTCCTGCGAGGCGCCCTCTTAACACGCTCCCGGCTCTCCGCACTTGGAGGGGCAAGGTCCCAGGTTCCGGGCTGTAAGGCCAGACTCAGGTCCCCCATACCTAGGGTTGCCAGCTCCGGGTTGGGAAATACCTGGAGATTTGGGGGGGGGGTGCCTGAGGGGGGCGGGGCATGGGGAGGGGAGAGATCTCAGCAGGGCAGAATGCCGTAGAGTCCTCCCTCCAAAGCAGACATTTTCTCCAGGAGAACTGGTCTTGGTCATCTGGAGATCGGTTGTAAGAGCAGGAGATCTCCGGAGAGTTGGCATCCCTCTCCATGCCGCTGAAACCAAAAGGGATTCACCAGGCTGATTGCTTTATCCCTGAGGTGTGTACTCTGTCTGGACTCGGCTCCCGTCTGCATTTGCACTTCCCCCCAGTTCCCCGGCCGAGTTTGATTTTGCATTCTTTTGTTTCTGTAGGCCTTTGACCACATTCTTTCAGCTATTGAAGATATATCTGGTCAAATAGGACACCATTACCTGAGAGACAAGTAAGTGGGGTTGGGGGGGGCTGGTTTCTCTTGACGGAGTGGAGCAGTTGGAAGTGAATGGAGAAGGGTAACTAGGAGAACAATAAGGCCGACCGTGGTCATCGGGATGCCCTAAGTTGGCCAAACAAGTTTATCACCCCCCAGCCAGAGATCTCCGTGCTTATCAAGTCCTGGGATCGTTGGCATTCTTCCTGCTCTTTTGAAGTCTCCCGCAGTAACTGTGCCCCCGAGAAACAATCCAGACTTTTGCATATCTGTTTCCCTTCTGATTAGCCCTAAGCCCTGCCTCTGGCATTCTCACTCCTAGTAGTTGTGGAAAGTCAAATTTGTGAGGGTAATTAAAAGCGAAGCCGCCATTATCTTCTGCAAGGACAACATAGTCCTTTATGTGAGAATCTGGAGGGCTCTCGTGGTAGAACGCTCCCTCTGAAAATGTCTGCCGTAGGCCCTCAAGTATCATGGCTGGCCGCAGGCGAAGTCTAACGTAAGGAGGAAGCTGCCTTTGCCAAGCCAAGCTAGAATTCGCTGCTCGTCAGAAGGCTCGGAGGGTGTCCCCGTGCCTCTGTCCCGCACAAGAATGGTGTGGCCATCAGTTCCCCCTGTTGGCCCCGTTCCCTCTTCAAGATTAATGCTAGCGGGAGGATGTGGGAAGCTGAGGGATCCTGAAAGCTCATCCACACCACAGTCTGAAGCTGAGCAATGGGTGAGTGCATCCAGGGAGCCGAAACTCTCCGAGGGCCAATCGACCTTCTGTGAAGTCCTCGTGTTCCCCACACGGCTGCACCATAGTTGCCAAACTCCAGGTGGAAAAAACACAGAAGCAAACCCTGTGATATGAACACCATTAATAAGATGTATATAACTTTTTAAACTTCATAAAATTGCAAAAAAGTTGTCCAGCGTTCTCAATGATACAATATTGTAAAAAAAGTCCAACATAGTCCAATATTATGAGCGATCGGTTATGAACTCATTTCAACTTTACAGTCTTCCTCAGATGTAATCCTATATTGCAAGGAGGTGTCAGCTTCTTAATCCAGCTCAGTATCGTAATTTCCTTTATAATATCCTGGAATAAACCATAATCAATGAAAATCCACATGTAGCTGCATGGAAATTAGTTATTTTAAACTTATAATGATTTGATAATTTAGTTTTTAGAAAACTTACTTCTGGTTCCATAATAAGTGTTTATATTGGGAGCAAGCCAATAATGCAAAAAAGCCTCCTGAATTTTGCTGGCTATGCTCTCCTAAACAGTATCTATTTTGGTAGTAGCAAACCAGTCCTTATTTCATCTGAGGACACCTCCTTAAATTGTGGCTACTGCATACATTAGTTTGCTGTGGAGCCCTTCTTCCTGAGCTAAGACAAAAATGTGTGAGCTGGAGGCTAAAAAACTGAGCTAGCTCACACTCACTCAGCTTAGAGGGAACACCGCCTGGGAATGAGTATAATTCTGAAACGCACTCTAAATATATGGATCAGCTGCCCCTCACCTGCCATCGGGGTCTGTGCAGGCCTCCCCCATAGGACAAATGGCACCCCCCATGCCATGGTGTGATCGAGATCAGGGCCCTCCATGTTCAGAAAATTATTTCCCACTGGTATAATGTGTGACTGACTGAGACAAGGTCAGGTGGGGAGACTCCCGATGCAGCATATTAAGAAATGTAACCTGTAGTTTGAGCCATCAGAAGATCTATTTTTTCTTGATTATGCCCTTATCTGTCATTCATTCTTCGTGTTAAATTTTTTAAAAAGCTCACCCCAGTCTTATCCAGTTTTCCAGGCAGATCTAACAAATTGTATACGTCCCTTTTCCTGTCAGCTCATTTCAATTAAACTACTCTTAAGGTAGCTAACGTCTGTGCTTCGGCCTGTTTTATGGAAGCATTTGGTTAAATCTTTTTAATAGCTATGCATGTATCGTGAACGTTAGATGAATGAGGGGTATGAATTTGTACTATATGCATATCTGTTCTTTTACGTGTTGCTGACTCTGTTGACTGCATTTTTGTCGGCTGATTTAGGATCACAATAATAAAACTGATCGATCGGTGTTAGAAACTAAGTTCACTGGAGCGGAGTGCCGGCTTTGGTTACCCAAATAATACCCCACGTGTCCATGTGTCTCATACCTGCTATACGTTTTGTTTGTTCAAATCATCAGATGGAGCAACATCGACAGAAAATACCTCAGCAAAGTACTGATGAGACAGTCTGCTCAGAAAACAAGAGATCAGATTCTTAAAGTTTTCCGGGAGCTCAACTTGAAAGATGCCATCAGCTATGTGGCCGAGGTAAACACTAAGAATAATCCAGGACGAAACCTGATAACTGCCTTTGTCTAGATTTGTGTCTTTGGTGTGCTACACTAGTAATATGTCAGTTAACTTAGGCTGCTGCCACACGGGACGGCTGAAACGTGGCTAATCAGAGCCGCACCGAACTTGAGACGCCGCGGCGGGATCCCACGGATCCCCTCAGCCGCGGCGCATCGCTCCCCAGCACGATCAGATGCCGGGGAGGAAAGTCCGATGGGAGGGGGAGGCTGCCGAACTGCGCATGCTCGAGCATGCGCAGTACGGCCGGGGGCCGGGATGCGGCGACACAAGGACGCGCTGCCCTATCCCACGGCCCGGCTTGCTGCGCTGGAAGGGATACAACCACCTAGGTAGGTGGTTCTTTTTTACAGCGCGGTATCGCCGTTTGGGACGGAACAGGGACGGGCAGGCAACGGTTCCCAGATGTTGCCGTGGGATCGCGCCCGTTTGCTCTGCCCCCGTTCCGTCCCCCTCCCGGCCCAAACCACCTCGTATGGACAGGACTTACTAACAGGAAAAGGTCTAGCCACAGTTATTTTATTTTATTAACAGAATTTGTATCCTACCTTTCTGCCCTTTTTAAGTTAAGCCCTTTATATCCCCTTGATTTCAGAGAGAGAGTTCAACATCCACTTAACTGGTTGTTAATGAGACCTTGTGGGGAAGTCAAGCCTCTGGGAATGTACAGAGTGCTTTCCATCTTAAAGTCATGAGCTCAGACGTGATTCTCCCTGGCCAAACAAGGGTTCAGTGTTCCTGCCACCAATGGATTCTTTTCACACAAACAGCACGCATTATTATAAGTTGCCTACATAAGGAGGCAAATAAACTGCCGGCTGGTTGAGGACGTAATCGCATCGCGTAGCAAGGGCAGTAGCATAGGAGGGGAGGAGGTGAAGTATCCCCTCCCCAAAAAACAAGCCTGGATTCAACAACCCGTTTTCTCAAAACGGAAAATGAGAAACTTTGCATGGCGTTTAAAAAAGCCGACTACAGAAGATAACTAAATACTTGCAAAAGGCAATCAAAACCGGGTGTATTTTATATGCTGTTAACCACCTCAAGTCCTGTTCAGGGATGGGGATATAAATTTGGTAAATAAATTAAAAAATTTAAAAATTTTAAAAAGGGGAAAACAGGCACTCTTTCTTTCCCCTTCACTGTCTAACCAGGGTATCTGCCTGGACAGGGTCCGTCAGGCTCCTTTGGGTTTCCATTTAGGGCACCTTCCAAAATGGAGTCAGACCAACTTCCTTCCAAATGAAGAAGAAACAGGAAGTTCGGCCATGTTGGCTGGATGCAGCTGAAGCACTCTTGAGGGCTGACAGAGGGAGGAGTCTGCCTCACGTTACAATTAGTTTGTTAGGATGGTGATTGGAGTCAGGCACCCGTGAAGGATGGGAGCCCTCGTTTCTGATGATCGTTTCAGAGGGTAGCCGTGTTGGTCCACAGTAGAACAGCTGGATTTGATTCCAGGAGCACCTTAGGGACTAGTGAGATTTTCGGGGTATACACTTTTGAGAGTCAAAGCCTCCAAAGGGAGTTTTGACTCTTAAAAGCTCACGCCCCCCCAAAATTTGTTGGTCTCTGAGGCGCTCCTGGAGTCTAATCCGGCTGCTCGTTTCTGATGAAGACCAGCTATTGGCTGCTTCTCACCAAGTGAGGGGCTATCAGGGAAGGAAAGACCCTTCGCAGTCATGCAGTTAGCATGTTACAAGGCTTCAGCTGGAAAGGTTTATCTCCACCCATTCCTCTGAAGGCAGGCAGGCAGCTTGAAGCCACAATGGAGACGGCTCTGTTTAGCTAAGCTGCTTTTCAAGATATAGGTAATCGAAGGGGGGAGATTACAACAGACCTAAATGTTTAACTTTGTGGCCTTGGCTCCGTGGAAGAGCCTCTGCTTTGCACGCAGAAGGTCCCGTGTTCAGTCCCCAGCCTCTCCAGTGAAAAGGCCCTAGCAGCAGGTGATGTGAAAGGTCTCTGCCTGAGACCCTGGAGAGCCGCTGCCAGTCTGAGTAGACAATACGGACCTTGGTGGACTGATGGTCTGATTCGGTAGCAGGCAGCTTCATACGTGTTCGTTCATATGGACTGTGCCCATGTGCTTGCATGCCAGGCAATACAGAGGTTGCAAGAGGCAGCGGCTGACCCTTTGCTGTGTGGCCCAAACAGAAATCAGGAAGGGTCAGATGTGCAATCAGCAGCCATGAACAGCAAAACTCCTACGAGAGTTTAGTTCTCCAATTTATTGGGATCAAAGATTACAGTTTTATAACACTGTGAGATTCTGTTAGGTCACACATCCTGTCTTGTTTTCTCCAGACTTTGGATCTGGAATTGCCTACCTTTGTCACTAAAACATTCAGTTCAAAATAAGTCCTGATATGTGAATCATCTCCTGGGACGTGTTGGCAGAGTAATTAACACAGCAGAGGTGCACAGCCTGATTAGAAGAGTAGACAAAGGTTTATTTAGGAATGAACATATTTGATAGGAAAGAGGAGAGAGAGAGTCCTAACTGCATCTCTAGCTGAGAGAGACGGTAAGACCGAATGTGGCACTTCTGAGAAGACAGGGGGAATTGCCGTGAGGGTAGCAGTCTGGAGACAGACAAGCAACAACACTTAACAGGAGAGAGAAGGTGCCGACCTCACTATCCTATCAATTGCCTTCTTGCTGCCCCTTGCAAGGTCTTCTTCTCTTATTCTTTGAATACCACCAGACATTGTTTTTTTCCAACAGGGCTGTACCTAGTTAGAGATGTGTTCATGAGCTGCAAGGAACCCTTATCGAGAAAGCACGGAATGGCTTGCGTGTCTTCTTTTTGTTCTTCCGTTGTGACATGGGTGGTGGCAGGGAACTCCTGAATCTCTTGAGGAGAAAGTCACAGAAACTCCATGCAGAAGTGGAAATTGTGTTCCTCGGCTCAGAAAAACTGGACAGTATTTGCATACAGTAATGTCAATTGCCACTATAATCACTGACTTCTTAAAAGTTCGTCGTGGTTATTGCCATGATAGAAACCAGGAAATAACTTCAGTGTAATTTATAGAAATGGGTTGTTAAAAAAAAACAACAACAACCCAATCCTTGCTATTTATATACGTATGCAGAGGTCATTTCGGGGGGGAACGCAATTCCCCCGGGTGAGGTGCAGGGGGCGGGGCACATGACGAAGCCCCACCCCCTGCTTCTGGCCACCCCGCTTCCAGCCCTCATTCAGCCAGGAGGAGGCAGGAGAAGAGGGAGGGTAAGTTGCTTCCTCCCCGCCTCTCCCCACCCCTGCCTGCCTGGGGCCAGGGAGGGCCTTGGCGGGGCTTCCTCGCACTCCTGCTGGCCTTGCAGGTCCACCGCCGGGCCCCTGATGTCAGGGGGTGTGGCATATGCTAATGAGTTATGCTAATGAGTTCCCCTAGCTCTTTTTCTACGAAATGACGCCTGTACGTATGGATGGCCCAGGCTAGCCCAATCTCATCAGATCTCGGAAGCTAAGCAGGGTGAGCCGTCGTTAGTCCTAGGATGGGAGACCCCCAAGGAAGTCCAGGGTCGCCGTGCAGAGGCAGGCAAGGGCCAACCACCTCTGTTCCTCTCTTGCCTGGGAGACTCCACAGGGTTCGGGTAGGTCAGCTGCAAACTGACGGCACTTTCTGCCACCAGTAAGAGTAAAGGTGGCAAGGAAGACAGAAGATCATTACCTTTGCCCCTTTGCCCTGAAGAGTCAGTTTAAAACGCCGCTCCTCTTTATGTAAAGTAATTATCTTTTCTTGTTAAAAAAGAGCAATCTCGTTGAAAGCCTGCACTCCAATATGTTGTTTTTCCCCCACCCAGGGAGAACGAAGAGGTTCCCTGGCGTTCATCCGATCTCCAAGCATCGACAACACTGCCAACGTGGATTTCAGCATCATTAATCAAATGAACGGAGACGCCTCTGTCTCCCAGATACTGTAAGTGGATCAGAAAGTGTTTTAGGAGTACGGTTTGATAGGATTATGGGAGGCACAAGAAGGTGGAAAGTTTCCTTCTCGAAACCCCCATCACCCCCTCCAGGACGAGATATGGGACACGGGGACCTGTTTTCTAGGGCTTCCGGTCTCCAGGTGAGGCCTGCAGTTCTCTCAAAATTACAACTGATTTCCAGACTTAACGTGATCGTTGAGGGAATGGCAGTTTCAGCGGGGAAACTCTCCGGTCTAACATCAATTCTAGGTAAAATTCCTCCCCGAATTCCTGCCTTCATAACTTCCGCCCCCAAATCGCCAGCAGTTTCCCCCCCGTGCTGGAGTTGGCAACCCTACTGCCTTCTCATTTCTGTTTCTGTTTCTTTCGTTAGTTGACTCTTACTTGCTCTCAACATTCAGAGGGCCAAGAGCGTGCTCCGGGCTTATCAGGTGGTTCTTTTTTTAGGAGAAGGCTCCTTTTCGATGTGCAAACTGACATGATTTTTCTGTGGGCCTCAGGAGTTTTCACGTCACGGGGGGGCCCTCCCTCGTCTGTGGGTGGGCCTGGGCAGCCGCCTGAAGGATAGCTACTGCTAGGCCAAGGGCTCACGAGGCATCACAAACCCGGAGAGGAGAAACAGTCCGGAAGCTTCCCTTCACGTCAGGTCTTCACCTTCAAGACCTGAGAAGATCTCGGGCTCTTGGGCAGGCCAGTTTCCTCATCCCCCTCTCCACCCCACCCCCTTCTTTCAAATGTCCCTCCTGGAGTCTGCTCAGTCCTCATCTGGCCGGATTCACTTTTTCCTGTTTTAGTTACTTTATGAAGTCTTGTTTTTCCACCTACCGCAGGAGCCCAGGGACCCTGCTGAGCATACGGCGACCCCTACTTCGGGGGTCCCCAACCCTTTTGAGCCTGCAGGCACATTTGGAATTCTGAGACAGCGTGGTGGGTTCAGCCACAAAACGGCCGCCACGGCCTGCCTGAAGTCACCCAGTCAAGAATTTTATTAGTTTATACATAGAGAGAGGGAAAAGAAGGGAAAAGAAAAGATGCAGAGATGTATTTAAAAAGTCCAATTTAACATTCTGCGTGCAAATCTTCTCACGAAAGCTTCACAGCTATTATAACCACCGTTCTTATTGTCCTCCATTTAATCTTCGTTTCTCAGTACTTGTGTCTTAAGCAGTCATAATACGCCCTCCATGGTCCCATAAATTCTTCTTCCATTTCTCCAGCTGCTGCCAAAGCAACTTTTTAAAAAATCCGCACTGCCAATCAGATCTCCAGTAGCCAATCAGAAGCACTTCTGGGCAAAAACTCTTACCTGGCCCCACCCGCTTTGTGGATACACTTGGTGGGCTCCAGGAAACAGACACCGTATTGGAGACCCCTGCCGGACCTTGGCCCATTCTGCATCTAGCGTTCGCTCCACTGTTTCACCAAACCCACGTTGGAACAGAAATCCCCCTCTACGTTGCATGCCGCTTTCACTTCCTTTGATTTTGTTGTGGCCTCCACATGGCATGCCACTTTCACTGCATTTGATCTCTCGCTTTTACGGTACTGTCTGCGTAGATTTATGGCCGTTTTGTGGCCGTTCAGGGGCAACTCTGCAGTCGGTATGGCGGTGGCCTGGGGTATTTGAATGTGGTTTTGAGCCGCATCTTTTTTTCTGTTCCAGTGTGGGTTTGGTAAAAAAGAGGAGCGAATGCTGGATGCAGAGCGGGCCCTTGTCCGTGCGCAGCCTGGCCCTGCTCCTTCCCTCATCCACACCTGGGCCAGCCACGTGACTCTCAGATACAGTGAGAACAGTGGCATGACCAAGGCTCCCTCTAAGCTGTGGAGTCCTGTGAGCAAAAATTCTACTTTGTGAGCTCCTGGCATTAAAGTTGTGAGCGAACAATTTGGCTGCTGCATGAATTAGTTTGCTCTGGAGCCCTCCTTCCTGAGCTAAGACAAACCATGTGTGAGCCGGAGGCTAAAAAACTGCGCTAGCTCACACTAACTCGGCTTAGAGGGGACATTGGGGCATGACTATGTTTTTCCATGTCTTGAAAATTAGCACGGCACAAAGCAATAGTTGAGAAAAACATTACTTGGGTACAATCCAACCAATGTTCAGCACTGTTAAGTCCCACTGTTTTCAACAGAAAAGATCTGCAGTGCCATCCAGTGCCTAGTTACTAAACCCACTGATTTAAAATGGATGTCATAAACCCGCGTAGGATTGCAGGGTTAATTGATTGCTTTTTCGTCTCTGATTGAGGTCAATGGGACTTACAAGAGCGTGCCTTTGGCTGGATCATACTCCTTATGTCGACCTATCCAGAACTCCCTGGACTGTATCACTTTGACTGCAGATACCGGACTGCATATGTGAACTCTCCATCATATGTATATTTTTTTAAAATCCTATTCATCCAAAGTTAGCCTGTCAAGGAGGAAGGCTCCTAAGGTGCTAGTTCTCAATGAGCAAGGGTTCCTTGGGAGGCATTCCAACATGCCTTGGAACAGGGCAGTTTTGTTCCACCTCTGTGATCCTAGTAAACAGAACCACGTCTTTAGGATGCTAAACCATGTTCAGGTTTGCACGGTGAGCCCAAAGAGGTAAGCAACTGCGTATCCTGTGCAAAACAGAATTATTCAAGCGGGCTTTTTGCACAGGTAAATAGGACTGGACTGTAAAGAAATGGTTAGAGGGACACGGCCCGTGGCCTAGTTTCTACACCAGTCATCACGTATAAAAGCTCATGCTCCGTTTCAGCTCTGTTTGAGATTTCCGTTTTGTTTCCAGGATTTCTGTAATCCAGGCCCTCTTGTACTGTTCATAGGGTGACCCGTCCTCTCAATTGTCCTTGAGTTAACATTAAGTAATCCATAGGCCTGCCAAGCCCCCACCGGGGGCGGGGGAACCCTTGCCAAAATGGCCCCCAATCTGCTGCTGGAGATCGGGCCGCCGGGGGGAACCCCACCCCCGAAACAGTCGAATCAGACCCATGCCCCCAGCGTGATGACGCCACCGGGAAGTGACGTCATCACGCCGGGGGCGTCACCGGGCGACGCTCTAGCAGTCACCCCAAAAACTCTATGGTACCATAGAGTTTTTGGGGCAATTGCTAGAGCGTTGCCCGGTGACGCCTCTGGCGTGATGATGTCACTTCCGGGTGGTGTCACAGCGGCGCATGCACGCAAATGTCCCTGGAGGGGACAAAGAGTCCCCCGCCGCTAACAGTAAGAGACTTGGCAGCCCTGGTAATCCACCTTGCATCCCAGTGAGAAAGGTGGACTGTAAATGACCTCAGTAAATGAATCAATCCTGTGGGTGTTTGCTCAGAATAACCCCTGTTAGCAGCTCAACCAATTCAGAGTCCAGTCAGGCACCTTTAAGGCCAACCAAGGTTTATTCGAGGTGTGAGCTTTCGTGTGCAAGGCACACTTCATCAAATACGTTAGAATGGCAGTCAAGGCTCAGACTTATAGCACGTCTTTTGTTAGCTTCCTCTGAGAGATTGCTTTTTTAATTTTATCAATTTCTATTGAAGTATAAAACAGTAAAAGGTATAAAAGTATAAAGTATATATAAAGTATAAAAAAGTAAAAAGTATAAAACAAACATATAACCATTGAACAGTAACATTTAAAGAACGTATCAGAGCAAAGCAAATCAGCCAATCGTATAGTTCGATTGTGAAAATACGGTAACTAACCAATCCAAACAGAATTGCGCCTACTAACGTTAACTTCAGTTAGATATAAGTAATCAATTCACGGTATTTTTGTGGCATGAATTGCCATCGAGAGAGAGAGTGTTGGGAAACAAAACAAAAATATGAGAGATCGCTTATTGCCAGCTAAGTCCGCTTCTGAATTGGAGAATGGGCAGTTTTATGAGGAGGAGAAGAGAGAAGAGATTGGATTTATACCCTGCCCTTCCCTACCCAAAGGTGTCTCAAAGCGTCTTACGAACTCCTTTCCCTTCCTCTCCCCACAACAGACACTCTGTGAGGTCGGTGGGGCTGAGAGAGCGCTAACAGAAATGGCTCTTTTTCAAGGACAGCTCTTATCAGAACTAGGGCTTGCCCAGGGTCATCCAGCCGGGTGCAAGTGGAGGAGTGGGGAATCAAACCCGGCTCTCCCAGATTAGAGTCCGCACACTTAACCACTACACCAAACTGGCTCGACACCAAACTGGCCTTGGTTATCTTATGGCAGGATCTGACCCCTCCATCTGCAGAACGTGTATTTTAACAAATTTGTATATTTTGATAAATGGTCCTTGACCGCAAATAAACACCATTCTTTCATCATTCACTCAGAATGTGTAGCCCAGGCCCTGCGCGGAGGAACGGTCGCAGGGGCTGAGGGCAAGGGAAGAAGGACGTGCCCCTGAAATGGCCTGTCCCGCAGAGACGGCGTCACTGAGAGGAGCAGACAGTTCCATCCCTTTGTCCTCCCCTGCTTCATCCTACTAACCCTGAAAGGCCGTTCCTCTGTGCAGATCCTGCGCACCAAAGGAGGGGAACCAATGGAGGGAAGCGTGCCTTCTGCACTTGAACGTCAAGATGCGGCCCTCTGCGTTTTAATGTTCTCAGGAGGGCCAGTTCTGTTGGATGAGCGGAGCAGAAACATCAACCCCCCTCCCCCCCCAACAGAAGTCTCATTTCTTTGTGTTTATTACTTTAGGAGAGACACCTCCAGTTCCGTCTGTCTTGACATGCAGGCGCTAGAGCAGAGGAGGAAGAGCATCCGAGACACAGAGGATATGTTCAGTCACCACACTCTTCAGCAGTATCTGTACAAGCCCCGGCAAGAGGTAAGAGCGAACCCCATCAGACGTGTGCCTTACAGCCGGAACCCCAAGGAATCTAATAATACCGTTTTTGGATGTTCAGGAGGAAACCATTCAGACCAGTCGGGGTTCAGAAATGGATTCTCCTCTCACATGAGCCGCTGTTGCCCACAGTAACTGGCACTGTTTACATTGGTTTGGATCCAAAGGTGACCTTAAGAACATAAGAGAAGCCATGTTGGATCAGGCCAGGGGCCCATCCAGTCCAACACTCTGTGTCACACAGCGGCCAAACAAAACCCAGGGGCCATCTGGAGGTCCACCAGTGGGGTCAGAACTCCAGAAACCCTCCCACTATTGCCCCCCCCCCAAGCACCGAGAATACAGAGCATCCCTGCCTCAGACAGTATTCCATCTCTACCTTGTGGCTAATAGCCACTGATGGACCTCTGCTCCATGTGTTTCTCCAATCCCCTCTTGAAGCTGTCTATGCAAGTGGCCACCATCACTTCCTGCGGCAGGGAATTCCACGTGTTCATTAGTCTGTTCTCTGCCCGCAGAAGGCCACACTTGAGAACTGTTTTTTTGTGTAGTCTCCGTGTTACGTGGAAGCACAAGAACCATCATGGTACACACACCTGTGTGTGTGTAAAGTACTGTCAAGTCACAGCCGACCTATGGTGACCCTGTAGGGTTTTCAAGGCAAGAGATGTTCAGATGTCGTTTGCCATTGCCTCCCTCTGCGTGGAGACCCAGGGCTTCCTCGGTGGTCTCCCATGATCCAAGTACCAACTGGGGCCAGCCCTCCTTCGCTTCCGAGATGTGACAGGATTGGGCTAGCTATCCTGGGCGTTCTAGGTCAGGGCACATACCTGTGACTCCTCTGTATTTTCCCCAAGGATTTTCCGGGGCGGTATTTTCCTTACACTCATATTTGAACCTGGTCCTGAGTCCTGGAAGCCACTATGGATGATCTACCCTGATGTGGGTGACCGAGGCTAGCCCGATCCCATCACATCTGAGAAGCTAAGCGGGGTTCGCCGTAGTTCATACTTGGATGGGAGACCAAACTGCCTCTGGTAATCTGTGGCCTCGAACACTGCCCGAGGTTGCCGTCAGTCGGCTGCAACTTCACCGTACTTTCTGCCACTGCCACGGATGGTCTAAGGGCACAAGTCTCCTCTGAACTCGGAAGGTGTGCAGAGCGTTGCCAATGCAGGATGTTGTGTGTCTGTCCCAAGTGCAGGGTTGGAACCCGGATCTTCTTCCTGGAGACCCCCAAAGTGGGGGGAGAGGAAGCGCATCACTCTCACTTCCTGTGTCACTTGTGGTTCTTTGGACTGTTGAAACGAGCTGTTCCAAAACAGAGGCTGCAGAATGTCTCCAGTTGTGTTCTTTTGGGTTTAACTTTTGGATTCTTTTCAGGACCTACATATATTTATAAACCATACAGACAGGGATTTCCCCTCCTTTTTTGTAATCAGGCTTGGGGGGGTGCTTCTTTGGTGTAGTGGTTAAAGTGTGCGGACTCTAATCTGTGTGAACTGGGCTTGGTTCCCCCCTCCTCCACTTGCACCTGCTGGATGGCCTTGGGCAAGCCACAGTTCTGTCAGAGCTGTCCTTGAAAAAGAGCCGTTTCTGTCAGAGTTCTCTCAGCCCCACCTACCTCACAGGGTGTCTGTTGTGGGGAGGGGAAGCGCAAGGAGTTTGTAAGCCGCTCTGAGACTCCTTTGGGTAGTGACGGGCGGGGTAGAAATCCAATCTCATTATTATTTTGTGAAGGGAAATCAACTACGGACACGACTGGACTTTCTAAATAATCCCACCTCCCCCAGGCAGTGTCATTCATTCAATTTTTAAAATCTTCACTATTGTTTGGAGCCCTAAGTGGGAGGGATTCATCCACAATTCAAAATGAGGCTGTAAGAAGCCAGCCTTTGTGGCCAGGTGTCCTTATCAGGGATTTTCCCCACCCCCCTTTTCTCCTTTGCAGCATAAACATCTGTACAGTCGCCATGAAATAACTCCCGATGAAGAGGATAAGCAGAACAAGGAGGTTTTCCAGAGGACCATGAGGAAGCGCCTGGAGTCCTTCAAGAGCACCAAACCAGGCCACAACTGCAACAGGAAGTACAAATTCCATAAGCAAGGCCCAGGCCAGAAAAGAGTAAGAGCGGCGCTTTCACAATCACTTCACTGACTGGCATTGGCCAAGGGGGTGGAGACTGAGAGTGTCTCCGCCCATCGGAACGGGGTTCCCAGCTTTTCTGTGGCTCTGAGCAATATTTGGTGGGGTGGAGTTTAGAAGCTCAAACAGGATACTTGAGACCAGGGAGTAGGGTTGCCAATGCTGGGTTAAGAAATCCCTGGCGTTTGGGGGAGGGGTTAGACCCTGGAGAGGGCGGGGCTTGGAGAAGGAGGGGCCACAGCAGGGTATAGAGTCCCCCCTCCGAAGTGGCCATTTTCTCCAAGGGGACTGAGCTCTGTCATCTGGAGATCGGTTGTAATTCTGGGAGATCTTTAGGTCCCCTCCTGGAGGTTGGCAACCATAGCAAGGTGAAAAGTGCTGGGTAATTCCCCCCTCCTTCTCTAGTGTGGTATTGTTGCCTCCTTGCCCATTTGTTTTAGAAACAAATAAATTATGACTCTCTTTTTGGTGTAGCGGTTAAGTGGGTGGATTCTAATCTGGGAGAACTGGGTTTGATTCCCCACTCCTTCACTTGCAGCTGCTGGATGACCTTGGGCAAGCCATAGTTCTGGCAGAGCTGTTCTGTCAAGGTCACAGCTGTCCTTGAAAAAGAGCAGTTTCTGTCAGAGCTCTCTCAGCCTCGCCTACCTCACAAGGTGTGTCTGTTGTGGGGAGGGGAAGGGAAAGGAGTTTGTAAACCGCTCTGAAACTCCAAGTGAAGGGCGGGGTATAAATCCAATCTCTTCTTCTCTTCTTCCTTATCACAGAGAAAGAGCAAAGGGTTCTTTCCCTCCCCCATTCAACTCTGTGGGACTTTACTGCTGAGAAAACAGGCCTACAATCCTATTGTTGTAGGGCTGGCTGCCTTCTGACCTGGAGGCAGCATTTATGGCTAAAAGTCACTGCTGTGGGGTATCTTTCTCCACACCCTGTCTCAGTTCCTGAACAGTGACAGGATAGAGAGGCGACCTCTTGTGGCCTGCATGGCAGTGAACAAGGGAGTGTTGTGAATTGGCTCAGACCGCCAGAGCAGCCCAGTTCAGCCAAACGCTATTTTATGTAACAGAATAAGTGTAGAGTAAGCGGATATCTTTTTCTGAGACGGATATTTTAGCAGGAAAATGCAGTGAAAGTCTCACAGTATGTGGTATGCGGAAGCCACATTCTGTTTCATTTCAGAATATGTGGGCCTGCTAAAAGATATCGCCTTACTCTGCTTTTGTGTCCTGCGCACTAAAACAGATGTTTACATGTTTTTTTCCCAGAAAACCAGTAATGTCATGCCAAATGGAAATCTGTACACAGAACCTGTAAAGGAAAAAGGTAAATGCACTGTTCAGTTAGTAAGAGCTAACTGTATTTTTCAAAGGGTACAAAAAATGGCCAACGTTTACAGATGCCTTGATTCAGTTACCCATAATCAAGGCTGCAATCATTGCACAGTTACTAGGGAGGTAGGCTCATTGGGCTCAACATGGGGTTGCCAAGTGCCATCTTCACCCCCAGCGGGGGACTTTGGGGGGCGTTCCCGGAGGGGGCGGGGCAACCCCGACATGATGACATCACGTTGGGGACGTCCGCCCCCCCCCCCGTGTGTCGGATCTCCAGAAACGGCAGTTCCCTGCCCTTAAAGGAGCCGGTGTTTCCCTTTTAAATGCAAGAGCTGGTGTTTCCCCTTTAAGAGCAGCCGCGTTTCCTTTTTAAGAGCATGAAGCTGGCACTCCAGGCTTGGGAGGAAACACAGGCTTGGGAGGAAACACGGGTTCCACACACTTAAAGGGAGCCCCTGGCAGCCAGCTCGCCGGTGGTGGGTAGAAGCCCCAAAAAAGCGGGGGACCCCTGCCAAACCAGGAGGTTTGGCAACCCTAGCTCAGCAGGGCCTTCTTCAGTGTAAACATGCTTAGGATCGTGTTGCCTGACATGTAACACTGAGAAAAGGGATGAAGGAAATATGTTGGTTAATCATTTGTTTGCATTACGTACAATTTTTTAATCTGAACACACTCTAAGTTGTTTGTACGCAAGGGATATCTCCTCGATAATTCAGATACTTCCCCAAGTTCTTCTGCCTATTATGATAGTCAGGGGTCATTTAATAGAAAAAGAGCTGTAGGAGCGCATTAGCATAAGGTATGCTGATGAGTTATTGGCTATTAGCATAATAGCTAATTAGCATATGCCACGCCCCTGACATCACTAGAAGTGATGTCAGAAGGGGAAGCAAAAAGGGGGGGAGGCATCTTCAAAAGCCTCCCCTTCCCTAGCTGGCCTGCGGGGGGGAGTGAAGAAAGAAGGGGTTTAAAGTTTAAAGAAGGGGTTTAAAGGGGTTTAAAGTCTCACTAGAGTTGGACCGCAGAAGGAGGAAAGAGGGAAGGAAAGAGAGAGAGAGTAGAGAGAAGGAAGGAAAGAGGGGATAAAGAGAAGGAAAGAGGGAATGAAAGAGAAGGAAAGAAGGGAAAGAAAGAGAAAGGAAGAAAGGAGGGAAAGCGGAAAAGGAGAGAAC